GCATCCATATTCATCAGTGATATTGGTCTGAAATTCTCCTTTTGGTAGGGTCTTTGCCTGGTTTGGGAATCAAGGTAATGCTGGCTTCATAGAAAGAGTCTGGAAGTTTTCCTTCTGCTTCAATTTTTTGAAACAGCTTCAGAAGAATAGGTGTTATTTCTTCTTTGAAAGTTTGGTAGAATTCCCCAGGGAATCCATCAGGTCCTGGGCTCTTGTTTTTTGGGGAGGTTTTTGAGCACTGCTTTGATCTCGCTACTAGATATTGGTCTATTCAGATTGTCAATTTCTTCCTGGTTCAATTTTGGGAGTTTATAGTTTTCCAGGAATGCATCCATTTCATCTAGGTTGCTTAGCTTATTGGCATATAACTGTTGATAATAACTTCTGATGATTGTTTCTGCTTCCTTGGTGTTAGTTGTGATCTCTCCCTTTTCATTCATAATTTTATTAATTTCTATCCCTATCTTCTTCAGCTTCCTTCCTTTCTATCAGCTTGTGTTCTAGATCACTAATTCATTCTTCTGCCTCATTCACCCTGTCTGTTGGAGTATACAGTTTAGACTGCATCTCATTCATAGAATTTTTAAGTTTGTCCTGATTAGATCTCATTTCTGCCCTTAGAGATTCTATATTATCACTAATGCTTTTTTCAAACATGGCTATTGACTTCATGATTGCTTTTGTGAAGTCTATGTCTGACCTCCTGCTTATATCCACTGGTTCTGTGGCAGAGGCCATTGTCTCTGGTTCTTTGTTGAGAGTTCCTCTTTCTAATCATTCTGTCAAGGGCTGGTGGAGCAAAGGGACACAGTCCAAAATGTCAACCAAGACCCAAGCCAGATGCACCCTAGCAAAATCCAGAGTGGTCAGACACCACCACTGAAAATACAAAGCCAAAATGAAACCCAAGAGTAAAGTTTTAAAATTGAAAAAATTAAAAAAATTTTAAATAAAAATAGACTTGAAAAAAGGGGGGGAGGAGTAAGGGGACTACAATCTCTCCATGTAGACAAAGCAGGGTGCTTTAGTTGTTCCTGGTTGTATTTTGATCTGTGTGTTAGAGGACACTATGCCCCAAAATTACTAGGAAAGTAAAGCTTGTATATATAAAAAGGAAAAACTGAGTAGAGTGAAACACAGGCTAAAATAAAGCATATAACTATAAAAAAATATAGGTGTATAAAAATACAAGTTCAAAAAGAGACCATGAAAAATGAGTTGGTATAATAGACATCTAGTTAAAATGAGGAGAAGGTATAAAGAAAAATACAGCAGGGGGAAATGTCATGAGAAAAGCAGAAAAAAAAGGAGAATTATATCTGAAAAATGAACCCGGCATTAGGACACACTTGGAGTTCAATGCACATTTATCCCCTGGCATTGGGATTTTACAGTCTTATAGAATCCAAAGTATTGTCATCTACCTGTTCTTCCAGCCTGTCTCCTGCCGCACTCTTTCTGAGGTATCCCTGCCTGAGCAGAGAGGCTCCACCCCCTGTCAGGGGGGTGAGCTCGATAGAAACCAGTCTTCTGTGCCTCTTTTTTTTCCTGGAGGCTTTCTGCACCTCTTGAGGGGATCAGAGCAAAAATGGCCACAGCCAAACCTCTGGCCCAGAGCAGAAAATTCAGTCTGCCCTCTAATAAACTCTCCAGGACAAGCAGTCTCCACTTCTTCTTTTTTTTTTTTTTAATGTCAGTCACCATACAGTATGTCATTAGTTTTTGATGCAGTGTTCCAAGATTCATTGCGTATAACACCCAGTGCTCCTTGCAATCCATGCCCTTCTTAATACCCATCACTGGCCTCACCCATCCCTCTCCAAAGCCCTCAGTTTGATTCCTGGGGTCCGTAGTCTCTCATGGTTCATCTGCCCCTCTGATTTCCCCCCCCCTTCATTTTCCCTTCCTTCTCCTAGTGTCCTCCATGCTATTCCTTATGTCCCACAAGTAAGTGAAACCATGCTTGTGCCTCTGAAAACTGCAGCCTCCCACACCACATGCCCACAGCTACTCTCTCAGAAGTGTTTGCAGGGTCTCGGGAGTATCTGTACCCTTTGTGCTCCTAAAACCACAAAGGGCTGTAGACTCGTGTGTGTACCTAAAGCTCCAGAATCAGGTCTGGATTCTGCCCTAAAGCTCGTTCCCAGCCACTACCATGCTGAGTTTTTGCCCAGCTGCAGGCACAGGTTCCAGATTTTTTTAGGCTGTTCAAAGAAAGAGCAGAAATTGACCCTCCCAGTTCAAGGTTTCTGGCGATCTGAGCTGAGAGTCCCTTCCTGGGCTTGCTGACTGAAACCTGTTTCCTGGCTCCAAGGCTTGGGTCCTCTACCATTTTGAGAATCTCCTTTTGTTCTGTGGTCCCTCATAACCTGAGACCACAATGTCCTACCTAGAATTCTGCCTTTTCATTTCCAAAGCCGCCTTCAGGGAGGGGTGTCCCTTACTAGAGCATGTTTCTAAGGGTTCTGATTTGGTGGTCCAGCGTTAGATCACTTTCCAGGTGCCAGCTTATGGCGGCTCCCTCCCCTTCTGTTTGTCTCCTGATGTCTCCTCACAGATTCAGGACTCCGCACATCCTACCTTGCCCAAATCAGTTGTTTTTCTGCTTGTAGAGATCCAGATATATATTCTTAACATCTCGGGCTGATTTCACAGGTGTTCAAAATGGTTTGATAGATATCCAGCTAAGTTCAGGGGACCAGTTGAAATGGGGTCACCCTAATCCTCTGCCATCTTGCTTCCTCCCTCTACATATTTTTGCTTTAATTATTCCCTCTTGCTTCCCCCTCACCCCGTTCCCTATTTCCACATCAATCACACAGATCAATATGGTTACCAAAAGATGAATCCTACAAATAAAGCTGCTATTAGCACAGGTCAGATAAAAGGTGTTGGTCAGCTAGTATCACGTAGCCAAGGGGAACTAAAGTCCAGTCTGACTTGGTTCAAGTGTGTGTGTTTCATCCTGGGCCCACCAAAGAGAAGTTGCCAAAGTGAGCTGTGGAGTAGGTAGGTGTTAGACTACTTCACAGATATATCCGTCAATTCCATCTCTCCAAGCATGATATGAGGATCGCCTGAGACCATGAAGCACTACAACGTTAACCTGGTATTGTCTCTTTCCCTACCAAATCAATATGGAACCCTACTTTGCAGCACATAGTAACCCATAAAGTCTGCCCCTGCACTAAACCATGAGACTTGCAGGCACTTGAACATTTAGAATGAATCTTCTTGAAGCAACAAGAAACCTTTTTGCCTCATTGTAACTCCAGGTTGAAGATAGATAAATCTGATCCTCAAATCCAGAAGCTGCTGAAAGAAATCCAAGAACATGACCCACAACTGACCATTGAGAGTGATAATCAAGATCCAACCACTAACCGACCTTCTTCACATGACTTCATTTTCTGAATCCCCTGGAGCTATTCATTCCCCAGTAAAGTTTGGGATCATAAGGGTGATGGTGAACTTCCTCTGAGCCTTCTCAGTGATGTTAGGTGCTGGACCAGATATGACCATAGCCTTGGTTGTGACTTTTGGCTTCCATGAAACATACACAGATGGTTTACCCCTGTTGTGGATAGAATGCCTACATCTTGAGTTTATCAAGAGGAATAAAGTGTGAAAGCATTCGTGAAGGAGGTTGTTTAATGGATTCTGACCAAACCTAGAAGATCCTTTATCTGGGGAGAACCTAACCCGGAAACAAAATGGGGACAGAAATGTTTGTGATCACGTTGGTCTGTTCATCCTGCCAGTCACTGCCCAGTTCTGGCATTCCTTTGCCTCCGTGGATAGCTGCCTGGTAGGTCTTCCTTGTAGAATAGTTCTCCTACCAATCCTACAATATATTGTAGCATTCTTAAGTGCTTCAGGGGAGTCCTTAAATGATCATGTCTTTGCTCTGTTGAACGGATTCCAACCTTATAGAAAATATGACTTCATGGTATCTACTTCATGGTATGTTCTTCCCTGTAGAGTTCCTCTTATTTTCTTGTGACAGAATCCCAAATGTTCTTAAGGCAACAACTGTAAGAATCACTTTCTTTTTATTAAGGACTATTTTTTAAATTTTTCTTCCAATCATCCTACTTTCCCCTATTTCTTCACTGGGGTCCATTGTTTCATGATTCTCCCCAAATACGCCACATATCCAGACATCCCATTCATACCTCTGTTTAATGTGCTTGTGTGTCATCATCTCAGTGATGTCCCTGCATACAGTGTGGGCTCCTGGATTTTCCTACAAGTCTCCTTCTGTTTCTCTTAAGGCCTCTTGTTCAGCTGGATATAGGTCTTTCCTAGCATCTTCATTCTCAGGGTCTGAGGGGTGGTGGCTGCCTTCAGTGGGAGTAGGTGGGGTTGTTAAAAGAAGAAATAGGGGCACACAATTTTTTAAAGCTAGGAAAGAATCTCAAGGTCTTCTACGAAGGGTTTCTCAGTCTCTGTGCTGTTGACACTTGGGTCCAGATAATTCTTAAGTGCTTCTCAAGAGAACATACTCTTGAGGAAGACTGTCCTGTGCATTCATAGTGTTAGCATCTCTACCCTCTACCCACTAAGTACCAGCATCTCCCTCCAGACACTGACAAATATCCCTTGGGTGCAAAATGCCCTGAGATTGTCCCCTTTAGGGAAAAAGAAATTGAGTAGCCTGCATGCATCAGTTTAGGGATGAAGAGTCTGGCCATTTCCCCTGTGAGTTAGAGATTCTGTGAGTGTTGTTATTAACTGTGGAGCAAGATAGGAGGAGGATATGGCTATAAATTGATGAGACCAAAGCCTATGTCTGAGGAAATGGCATCTGGGATCAAGGAGTAGGAGAAGGGTGTCCTCAGGCTGAGGAGGTGTAGTGGGGAAAGCCCTGAGTACTCACACATTTAACCCAATATTTCTGGTTAGGAGAGAGGCTGGGCTGATAGGCTCAGGAAATAAGTATAAGTCTGAATTAACCAGCTAAGCTATGGCTACCCAGAGAAAACACAGGGGCCAACAGGAAGCGTGAGAGAGTTTTATGCAGAGCATAGAATGGGGTCAGCTATGAGACTTGGTGATACAAAAGTCAATAACGAACATGAATTAGGGAAGGTTGAAGGGGTCATTATGATGGTCCAGTTAGGGTGCTACAAGATCCACAATGTGCGAGATGTGAGTGAGGAGACACTGGCATCCACTAGATACTTCCCATCCCAAATGAGAGGAGTCCTTGGATGAAAGCCAAATAGACACTGGCTCAACAGGTCCTTGATGGGACACCAAGGAGAGGCCCCAAGGTCCTCCTTCTCCATAGTCATAACCCCTGTCCTCTTGCTCCTACATTCCATACACTCCACACATGGTTTTACATCCCTTATCTCATAGCTACAACCAAGCCTTGGAGTTCTAATTGTGGCGCCCATGGTTATGGCCACCTGGTCGACCCCCATCCTGATGACTGTGTTGTCTCTGGGTCTGTGGGAGGGGTGGGAGTGGCCTGCGGATAGGTCTGACCCTGTATGGCAGGGGTTTCTTTCTGCTGTGCCAATCTTCTGCCAGAAGCCCCACCAGGAGTATTAGAATCACAACCCCAATGCATATCCGGACCAGATTGCCCTTGGTGTAATGTTGCTGGGCAAGACCTGGAGGAATGAAGAGAGACAGGAGGGGGTGATGAAAGCCTATCTCCAGGACCCACTTCAAGACACATCTTGGGTTTCTCATACCCATATCCCTCACCTGAGATTCTATTCTCTGCTACCTAGAATGTCCGTCTCCTTCCTAGAGGGTTCCTCCCCTCCTCACCAAGGGTCAGGGCTAGATAAGCCCAATTCCCTAGATATAATCTCTTCCATTCACCCCTTTCATAGACCTCTGATGCAACCCCTCCACACACACACAGACCTGGCCATTTGGCTAGTTAAGGATAAAAAACTGTTATATGAGGTGGAAAAAGATGGAATTTACCTTTCTCTTATTCTTTAAAAATCTCAGCTTTCCCACCTGAACTTACTGCCCAATTCTGAGTTTTAAGTATAATATTTACCTTCCCCTTAATATTTATAAACCAAGACCCAAGACCATAGATCTGTGGCTTCTGTACAGGGAAAGCAGTCAGTTTTAGGGGAAGACACAGGGGTGGGAATGAAGAGGGTCCAGAGAGGACCACTTACTCACCAGTTGGAGACTCTGGCCTCTTTGCAGAGATGGTGATAGTCCTAGAAGACTCTGGGAATCAAAAAGGAAAAGTTTAAGGGGACAAGACCATCTCCCGTAGCCCTGTTCCTGCCCCTTTGCTGAATGTGTGCACTTTAGAGGCAGAATCCCATGACTGTAAGAGCATGAACTACAGAGTTGGGCTGTCTAAATTTATCTCAACCTTCCCACCTGATCTCGTTGCCCAGTTCTGAGTTCCAAGTCCTGATATTTACCCTCCCCCTAATATTTTATGAACCAGGACCCAAGTCCATAGAGCTG